CTAACTGTAGTGTGAAGCACTGAGAGTGCGGTAGGGTTATCTGTAGTGTGAAGCACTGCGAGTGCGGTAGGCTTGTCTGTAGTGTGGAGCACTGGGAGCGCGGTAGGGTTATCTGTAGTGTGAAGTACTGAGAGTGCGGTAGGGCTAACTGTAGTGTGAAGCACTGAGAGTGTGGTAGAGTTATCTGTAGTGTGAAGTACTGAGAGTGCGGTAGGGCTAACTGTAGTGTGAAGCACTGAGAGTGCGGTAGGGTTATCTGTGGTGTGAAGCACTGAGTGTGCGGTAGGGTTGTCTGTAGTGTGAAGCACTGAGAGTGCGGTAGGGTTGTCTGTAGTGTGAAGGATTGTGTATCGTCTGTAGTGTAGGTTGCCGTGTTAAGATTTGTGTCGTAGACTCACACGCATTGAGGTTTCTACGAGTGTTCGTAGAACTGTCTGTATTCCAGAACTCATGAACGCGTGGGCGTGCTTGTGGCTGTAGAGGTTTCCCTGTGCGTAATGTTGGCACTCGTCTTGCGCAGAAATACATCATTGCGTTAAGGTGTTGGTTGCAGGGGCGTTGTATTGTATTTGTACCGTCACTCTCAACACACTTTGCATTGCAAGCAATTTCACTGTGGCTGCTCACACAGGCATAAGCCAATTCATTTTCTTTCAAAGATATTCCGATGCAAAGCTCCTAATACTGTCTCTTTCATGATGTCGGCATACGGGTTGTAGGGTTGTAATGTTTTAGGGATTAGTGCAACACCCCGTCCGTGTGTGTGCTACAAATCTGCCGCTTTTTCCTTGGTCCTAATCTGGTGTGTCTTTGGCATGTAGGTGCGATGCATTCATATTATAACCGTGCGATCTATGTGTATTATTACAATGCAATGCATATCTAACTGATCCTATTCCTGATAAGTCCTTCCGCGCTCTCCGATCCCCAAGTTACGAAATTTATTTCGTTTTTTCTTTCTGTTTTGCATTTATCAAAGCGTAGGGAGAAACCGATGTGAGTGATTTCAAGAATCGGCTGGAACACTCGTGCCATTCAGAGCGACGGGGTGGTGGGGTGCGCATAGAGAACAACCAGGTGAGTTGTGTGCACAGGTTAAGTGATTGGTTCGACGTAATACATGTGTGTAGATGAAGAACAACTTATGAGTACTTCATTTGTAGATGAAGAACAACTTATAAGTACTTTATCTGTAGATGGATAACAACTTATATATACTTCATCTGTAGATAAAGGGTAGCTTATAGATACTTCATCTGGGCGGTGTGGTGCGCATAGAGAACAACCAGGCATGTGCACATATTAAGTGTACATATACAAACATGTATTATATACTGACACCATTCTATTTGTTAACCAACTTTCTCACGCACACGAATCAATCAGCCTCTGCCGGTTAAAGAAAACGAGAGCTCGTACCAAACCACCGACTGCGGTGAGAGCCAGCGCACCTGTGACAGCCTGTCGCAAAATGCCATAGATATGAGTGATCCCTCTGAGACAAATCCATCCTCGAAGCTACTAGATCCGCCACCTCTGCCACTAGCGATCGAGGCCAAATACGAGAGAGACCAGTCACCGCCACACTCTCAAAGGGTGGGCGGGCCGTGTGTAATGTCTGCCAACGCACCAGAATTGGTAGCAAAGGCGAACACGGAAGCCATCACCAGACAGGACACGCTACAGGCACAGCATAGGCATCAGCCTGTGAGTGGGGGGGTTGTATTGCCCGTAAGTGCTCCCGTACCGGCAGTAGCTGTGAAGGCCGAGGTGACGACCCGGCGAGACATGCTACACAGTACCCTTGCGCCTGTGCGTAGTGGGTTTGTGGGGCCAGGAGGTGAACCAGGATTGGTAGTAAAGGCGATTGCTGAAGCGCGGGTCAAACATGAGCCCGTTGCACACACACCAACTGCCTCTGGTCCAACGCTTGGCGTTAAGGAGTACCCGCGAGAGACTTCAGACAATCCACGCGATGAGCGTCAGCTGGGAACGTCTGACAGACCTGATAAAACAAGACCACACCGAGAAACAAACGCCACCGTGCAGCTCAATACTACGCAAACCATCACAGACAGACCTGATAAAACAAGACCACAACGAGAAAAAAATGCCACAGTACAGCATAATACTACGCAAACCATCACAGACAGACCTGATAAAACAAGACCACAACGAGAAACAAATGCCACCGTACAGCTCAATACTACGCATATCATCAAAGGCAACGCCGCAGTGGATGAGGAGGTTGGTGTCAAGTGCGAGCCTGTGGAGTCGGAGACAAGCCACCCGTTCCGTTTGCAACAAGTAGTCACCGAACACCCGGTACCATTGGTATCGTCTGATATCACCCAGTTGAGTACAGGTGTGGGTGTTGGGGTGCATGGGATGGCCACTGCTCAGATGGGCTTGCATGCTGCGCACACTCTCGCTGTTCAGGCTCACAGCCGGGAAGATCGGGAAAGCATGGAGACTGACTCGGGCACTGTGGGGAAAGACGGGGCGACCGTGTGCGTTCTGGGAAAAGAAGGCGACCCACACATCAATACGGAAGGTGTAGGTAGGTATAAGGCAGGTAGCATAGAGAGATCTGGTGATTCGGATGGTCTGCGGATGGCCACGTGTGATTGGCAACATGGTGTGCATGCAGCCGGTGCCCACAGAGATACAGTGCCCCCGGCTGTGGTTCGTAGTCAGTCTACAGTACGTAGCATAGCAACTGTAGACGTTGGCACAGACACCCATACAACCAGGCATGGACAAATAGGGGAGTGTGCACGTGCGAGAGACGCTTGTGCTGCCCCCACAGTCACTGCTCATAACCAAATGCATGGTCCAGTACACAGTCAACCCTGTCAGGTAGCGTCCGATAAACCGGGACGTACCGCTTTCAACCAAATCAAGAGCCAACCAGCCGACGAGTGTCTCGGGCGAGCCCTTCCACCGCGTGCTGAGGCTAGTCCTCTGACTATGAAACCTTTTGTCAAGGCTCCCATGCATAGTTCAGGCACACTGGCGCCCCCCGACAGCCACCAGAGCGTACCTACTGACACACACCGCACTGTACGATTGTGTGGCGAGGGAGAGGCGACCGTTCTCGGCGCTACAGCAGCCGAGGCAGTGCGTGTGCCACACTCACCGGACACGCACACGCTGGGCGGTGTAAGGGTGGACAATGTCGGGGAGAGTGGGGGGTTAGTAAGGAGGAGGAGGTCGGCTGAACGACCACTCCGTGAAGACGTTGGTGGAGCGCTCACAGTGTGCGCTACTACACAGAGCCGCACGTGCGCAGAGGGGCCGTGTGTGGACACGGTGGGTGCCTGTGCTGGTGCAGGGCGGGGCTTGCACCGAACACGCACGCAGACACAGGCTGCTGGGTTATATGGGAGGATATCGGCTGCTGTTGGGAGAGGTAGTGTGTGCGTGTGTGTGTGTGCGGGTGTGTGCAGGTGTCGTCCAGGCTGTGCATGCAAGACACTGTGTGGGGCGAGTGTGCCGTTGGGGACCTTCCGTTCGCATGCCTTACTTGCTACCAGGAGCGAAGGGGCTATACAGCGCAGCACCCACACACAGAGCAAGTCAACTACCGGAGACTCTATTCTATCTGCATATACCCGCTGTGATAGCCTTGGAGAAGGACAACGCACCCTGAAAAGTCCTGTAGGGGGCAGGCCTAGGGCACCTGTGCACGCGGGTGGGGCCTGTTTGAGAAGGCGGTCGGGAACTCGTACACCCACGCCTGTCCAGACATCTCTGACAGACACACAGCCAAACACACTCGTGCATGCGTCGTCATTGCCACACGCACCCAGAAGCACCAGCACGCGTACGGTTTTATCGCCACATATGCACATACAAACGAACACGCATATAGGTTCATCTGTGCATACACGCAACGACACAAACACGCGTGCGGGCACACCCTCTGTCTCTGGACCACGTACTGGCGCACACAGAGACAGAGCAGCTGGCACCCATCTGACGACAGCTAGTGGTGCAGAAACGGGCAGCGTGTCACATACGACACCAAAGCGTAGGATTCTGAAAGCGCACCCCATGCATGGGAGCACTTGTGGGTCTGCTCATGACGTGAAGTGGCGATCGCCACGTGTCTGCATGTCAAAAGAGAACTTTCCCATCGCACAAGCCGGTAGTATGTTGAGGAAACGGCGGTATTTGCCGTTGTTAATAGCTCAGGAGGACGCCTGTATAGCAGGGTCAAAGACACCTACCGATACAAACTTTTGCAACAGCACATCTGGGGTGTGCGCAGCCAGAACTGGCACTGCGACGCAGGCGAAACACTCCCCGCGAAAACGGTTCGGGGGCACTCGTAGGGTAGAGCCTAGTACAGGCGAGAGGAAGCCACTGTGTGGTATTGCCACAGTTGGTGTGGCGGAAAAGTATGGATGCAAAGATCCGGGTATCGGAACAAATCACGGCGCAAAAGAAGTTTTAAGGTCAGATATTTTGGGCTCGAAGTCCGACCGCAAGCCATATGCACGCGTACTCAGTGTTAGAGAAACGAAGTCATGTGCAAATCTGGATACTGCACACCAGAACCCGGGTCCGGAAATATCCGAAAACAGAGTGGATACGACGTGTGACATAGAGAAAATGGGACATGTGGGTGACACCCATAGGAAGGCCACGAAAGCACACGTACCATGGAACTTGTCTGCAAGTGAAGGCGCAGGACCAACCGGGGCGGTGTCTGCCCCAGCAGCTTGTGTGGTGAACGATATGTATGGCAGAGAAACGCCATCAGCATATACTACCAACTGTCTCGATGGGAATAGCGCACCCACTAGTAGTCTGGCCAGTAGCCCTGGAGAGCCCAAGAGCCTATCCGAGTGTGTAGAGATGTGTAGCAGTACTAGCCCTGCAGCACTACGCACAGACACCACCACCACGACTGGCAAGTCTCTCAGTCGCAGTGCGGTACCTGGCGATGCAGCGTCAAGTGTCCGCAAACACGGACGAACAACCCCGGACCGTGCCATACGACCGGAGTCGGATATCAGACACACGCAATGTGACGAGTCAGGCGCTCGGAAACGCCAGCGACTCTCGCTAGAGGGAGATGTAGGTAGCAGTCCCCTTCGAACCTTAGAGAGCACGCATGGGGCTACGCTGCAGCAAGGTAGTACTGGTGAGCAAGGTAGTACTGGTGAGCAAGGCAGTGCCACGGCTGGTACTGTGGCCTGTGGTGGTACGGGTGGCCATCCCACGATCACTCGTACCAACACCACTGGTGGTACGACGAACAAGTGCACGCCTGTCAGTCACAGCGGAGGCTTTAGTGCAACTGACCCCATAAGGTCTGTCACTCTGGACACGGTAGCATCACCTAACCCCAACCCTAACCCCAACCGAAACCCTAACCCCGCTCAGCAGCAGAATGTCTCTGCGAATACATCCGGCATACAGACCCACCCCCCCGGCGCACACCCATCACAGTCACAGCCACAGTCACAGTCACAGTCACAGTCACAGTGTGCCATAGACCTGCGCATGGCTACACATCCGCTGGCGAGTGCACAACACGACGAAGCTCTGGCGCGATCGTCGTCGCATATTCTACGACTTATAACCAGCCAACCACTGCCGAATCTGTCCCTAACCCCTCAGTCGTCTGTGGAGTTGCCCACCGCTTACTGAGTGCATGCCACACATGATGTGGTGCTTCAGCATGCCACCATTGCGTGCAAGTGCAGAGTAGTCGAGTCAGTCGTCTGTGGAGTTGCCTACCGCTTACTGAGTACATGCCACACAGGATGTGGTACTTCAGCATGCCACCATTGCGTGCAAGTGCAGAGTAGTCGAGTCAGTCGTCTGTGGAGTTGCCTACCGCTTACAGAGTGCATGCCACACAGGATGTGGTACTTCAATAAAGATTGCGAAGGTTGCTCTTCGCTGCATCAGGAAGGCTTCTCTTGTGTGCTGAGACGGTGGTTGTGATACGGCTTGGTTGTGCATGAGGGAGAGTTTGCAGGATTAGTCTATAGCTGTTAATGAAGGACTGTCTGAGCCCTTACGGAGACATAAATTATGTATAGACCCGTAAGACAACAGACTCTAAAATGCCTGCAAACCATGCGCATGCGCGTATACCGAGAAAGTATTGTTACGAATTTATATTATACCGAGATAGTATAGTTACGAATTTATGTTACGGTTTTTTATTTCGTTTACCCGAGATAGTGTAGTTGCGAATTTATGTTTTAATAGTTGCCAGTTTATGTGACGGTTTTTTATTTATTCTACACCGAGATAGTGTAGTTGCGAGTTCATGTTACGGTTTTTCTTGCGATAGTATACGCAGATATGACACATTGCGGCACCCCTATGCATCCATATGTAATTTTTTGTTCCTGTGTTCTAGCACCACGTGCGCATATCCTTTCGCTGACAATTGTAGCTCGGGCTCCCAGCCTAATTCGTGAGTCGGGATTGTGTTTCAGTGGCTATACACTCTGTAGGTGTACGGTGTATATGAATACGATCTGCAGTACTAGAAAAGCGATAAGGTGTGAGGACGTGCGAATCATACTGTGTTTGTACGTGGCTGGTACTGTGTGTGAATTTGATCTGGAAGACGCACTCGGAATGATAAGCCAAGCGACTTGCCTTTACCTGCAATCAGCTATAATGATTTGCAGACAAACTAGGGCTACTTCAGCCTGTGTATGGATTTACACGTATGAACCTCTCATTCCATGACAAGAGCCACCAAGGGATTGGACACAAAAAGTGATGTATCAGAAAGGTGGTGATGTGAGACGAAGAATCAGAAGTCTATTTATTTCCACTTTATTGTACACTGCGCGTTTACGCTTATCTATCTATGGTTTAGGACTGGCTGGGGACGATAGAGATACCTCTGCGGTTGTGACTGTTAAAATTGGCCGAGGCTTACGCCAGCGCCTGAAGTCAGTCTGACCCATTGCCAGTCACAGCCTAGCAGTCACCCACTAGTACCGCGACAACCCTCTGCGGTGTTCTGTACCGATTACTGGGGAACCACGTCTCCTTACAGTGTAGCTATAGACCAACACATCCCCCATAAGTCGTGAGAGGATGTGATATTATTTAAGTACTCGCAAGGTTGCCACGCCGATCGCCAGGGTACTGTTTTACCATTGACGGCAATAGCCTAATAGCCCAATATAGCCTCGTAGTTAATGATAATTCAACAACCTCTCATCGCTATGTCAAGGGGGTATCCCGTCAGCGACAATTAATCAAAGAGAGAAAGAGACCCTCAGCCTTTGGCGTCTTGCACCCGTCAGCGACAACCAATCAAAGAGAGTAAGAGACCCTCAGCCTTTGGCGTCTTGCACCGGCAGCACACCGAGCCTACACGACAGCCCAGCTAACACGGGCGCAGCACATCAGACTCTTACTACCGACTGTCCCCACCACTCAGTGGTCGCAGAGCAATTCACAGGGCCCCAACTGCCGCACAGACGGCATGGCACAGTGGTTCAGTGCATGTCGTCTGCTGCGTGGACTGTCCAGCGGTGTGTGTGTGTGCATGTGCCCAGCAACGTGCGCGCCTGCACCTCCCTTGCATCTCCTCTGCGGATACCGTACCAGCAGAAGCCTTTGCTTGCGCTGGTAGCCCTATCCACACTCCACCTTTCGAAGCAAGAGCAGCACATCATGTCGCCAGACATTATGACTGATCTCGGGTGTGTGGGTATACGCCCAGTACAAGCAGCAGAAGGATGTGCGCATTCGTCAGCCTGGCAGCTCTGGCGTTGCTAGGCCGTGGCATAACCACACCCACCAGAGGGTCAACAGATTCACGCTTCCAAGGGTTGGGTAGAGTCTACCAGGCGATAAATACGGGAGAGACCAGCACTAACTTGTATACAGGGACACAAGGATGGTGTGAGAGACTACGCTGAGACCATCGGGTGACATACGCACACGTCTGTACATGCCACACACACACACACGCACGCCCATCACACTCGCATATACTGACAGGGACGAACTCTTGGCACCCAATCTAGTACTATTTTTAACTGTTTAACTACCCCCTGGGCTGGGGCCAAATTGAGCCCAATTCTTGTGCGCTGGTGATCCAATCGGAGAGATATGGGTGCTGTTCTGTCGGCTGACGCTGGTGCTGCCCCTTCGACTGGCCTGTCGACTGTGGGGCCTGCTGATCACCTGTTGGCAGCACAAGTACAGAACTGTCTTAGAGGATGAGAAAAGAATACGGAGAGTCCGTGTTTGCTTTTAGATGATGGACATTGCTTGAAAGGTGGCTGTTGAAGACAAGGGTTCGCGTGAGCTGAATCGTGGGCTGTTGTAACGTAAAAGTGTGTGCGAGCTGCTGGCCATGCGCGCGAGTATTCCTATATGGATACGAATACAAAATATATGAGATGAGATGATATTGGTGATAGATCGCACCGAATAAACTATTTGCGAGACTACTATATTTAGCATTTTCAACAGCGAAAAGTGTGTCTGGGATTGGCGTCTGATTGTGAGAGAATGAATATGAAGAGATATCCATTGTTTGAAGAGAATGTGCATGTGCAAGTGTGCGCAGAAACAGATGTGAAAGCCTTGCACTTTGCACAAGAAATCCAATCCGACATGCTCTGTCCTCGAAACGACGAGTGGATAGAGGTACAAAGGAAAGCACACACATACTATTTATAACTATCTATACACAAATATATGTAAATAGTTAATAGTTGCATGTTGTATAATTA